GATAACTAGGAAGAGGAGAAAACAAGAGGAGGAGCTGGAAACAAGACTACACTCTTCCAGGTCACAGCCCCAGTGACCCACCTCCTATTGGGCCACATCTCCTAACAGCACAGTCATCTATGAACCCATCAGTGGATTGGTTAATCCACTGATGATGAATATAGCACCTCTGTGATCCAATTAGCTTCCAGAGCCCCCATCTCTGAATACATGAGCCTTGTGGGGAAGTTTTAGATTTAAACCACGATAGTTATTTTGTCTCAGTGATGGAAAAATGACTAATATTAATTAGGGTGAGGAAACTACGTATATCTATGTCATCAAAAAGATCCAGATGCAACCATTGTGTAAACCAGTATGGAGATGCCTCAGAAAACTAGGATTGGAGTTCCCATCTGACCCAGCTATTCCCCTGTGGGACATCTTCCCAAAAGAAATAGAATCATACCACAGCGATATGTGTGCACCTATGTTCATAGCACATAGCAGCACAGTTTGTAATAGCTAAACCTAGGAAACAGCCCAATTACCCATCAACTGGGGACTGGATAAAGAAAATGTGGAGAATTTTTAAATATAAAATGGAGTACTACTCAGCCATAAAGAATGAGAAACTAGAGACATTTGTAGCAAATTGGATGCACATTGAAGCCATACTCTTCAGTGAAATAAATAGGATGCACATGTATAAATACTGAAACTGAAAGTGTAAATAAGGATCAAAATGAATAATAGGTAATGTGAAATAGGAAGTAAAGGTCCAAAGGGGAAGAGGAAGTGGAAGGGGTAGGAAAAAAAGAAGGGAAAGGAATAAACATAGAAAATGAAAAAATGGGAACAAAGTCTTTGTAAATAGGAAGTGGTGGAGAGGTCGAAGGGAGGGCAGAGGAATGGGGAAAAGATAAGAACCAAGATATATCATGTACAGGTACAAATTCCCAATGGCATTGTATACCTAAATATGATGTATTCCCATCATATTGTATACCTACAAAAGAAAAGAATGCGAGAAAATGAAAAGATGGAAATAAAGTGTTTGTAAATGGGGAGAGGAGGAGGGGGTGAAGGGAGGGCATGGACGGGAGGAAAAAATGAGAACCAAGATCTGTCATGTAGAGGTACAAGATCCCAATAATGAATCTAACTATACTGTAACCTAAAATGTACCAATAAACTCAATTAAATATACCTTTGTATACCTAAAATGCACCAATAAAATTTTAATGAATAAGTAAAGAACCAGAAATATCTATTGAACACTGCCTTAATGAGACTGGTAAAACTCTAGATACTTTTTCAAATGTTTTAAAATATTAAAATAGATTTATACTACCATTGCCTCAAATTCCATTTGTAAGACAGAAAATGGGAGTTGATGATATACATACCATATTAATCTTTCAAAGAAAGGCCTTCAGTGGAAAATCTTTTAAAAGTATATTCTTTTATTCAAATATTTAAAATAGATTGAGAAGATAAATATTTCCATGTTGGGAAATACAGTTTTATTGAAAAATATTGCTGCCTTCACTTCACTGTACTATGCAATTTGTAAATTACATGCAAGAAACTACAAGGCATTCTGTTATAAATATTTATAAATGTTAGAAAAATACATCTTTTGCCTTTGTACATTATAACAATTTGCTTGCTTCAGCAAGCAATCAGCAGTAAAGAAAACACATTTCACACTGGTAGTTTTAAATCCTCTAGTATGGAAAATCCTGGGGAAGAAAATATCGATAAAGAATGAATGGGAGTTGGTGTAACATTTAGCATTGGCTTTGGTATCAGGTAGGTTTAAATAGTAAACCATCATGTATTACTTACACAGCTTGGAGGAGCAATCTGGTCTTCTTCTATAAAAAAGAATGAAAAATCCCTCCCTTGTGTATGTTAAAACTTTTGAAATACATGTGAAATGCTTAGAAAAGTGGCTAGCATGTAGCACATAAGTAAATGTTCACTTATTTACATATTAGCTAAACACTGTGCAATTGTTTGACAGTTGCAATTATATCATGATCCGGTCACTATTCATTTTGGAATAGAGAGATTTGCACTAAGCAGCTATGATCCAGCTGTTCTCACAGAACAGAGACACTGTTGGAATAGAGTTTGATAGCCCCATATCTTTTAACAGATGAAAAGCTTTCATACAGCTTGTGGGATTATCAAATTACACCTAAACACAAAAACCAAGGACTAAGTAACTGTCTAATAATGAGTGTTCAATCTTTATTTTCCCTTGAAAGAGCTGCTTTTGTACAAATAGAAACGATGCTTGAGATCTGATTCAGAGTTTTTATTTCTTTTGACCTCACAATTTCAAAATGCCTGTTTCCAGATGAGCATGATGGTGCACTTTGGTAATCTAGCAGGCAGCTGAGGCAGGAGGATCACAAGTTCAAGCCTGGTCTCAAAGTAAGAAAATAAAGAAACAGCTGGGGATGCAGCTCAATGCAAAGGCTTTGGTTTCAGTGCTCAGTACAGAAGAAGGAGAAGCAGAAGGAGAAGGAAAAGAGGAAAAGGAGGGAGAAGAGGAAGAGGAAGGAGGAGGAGGAGGAAGGAAGGAGGAGGAGGAGGAGGAGGAGGAAGAAGAAGAAGAAGAAGAAGAAGAAGAAAAAGAAGAAGAAGAAGAA